GAGGAAGTTTTACTTTTTCGGATTGGATTCTAAATCCCAACGGTTGTAAAATCTCTTAAGGGACCATACAATATGCCATCAATTGGCAAGGCAACGTTTGAGTCAGAGTATGCTTTTTTGATGTAAATGGGTTTGAGTATCCCTTATACTCAAAAATATAAATTTTTTTTGCCTTTCAAAAAAAAACTCCCATGGAGTGGGATGCTTGAGCAATTCTCTGGCTAGATAACACGCAGCAGTCACCCTAGAAAACTCATCCATTAAGGCTTCCTTCTGTTCAGCACTCATTAGTTTGTCCATCTCTCCAAAGACTAACTTGTCCATATCTGGGTTTATTTTTCTCAATAACATTTCCACATCCATTTTTTCTTTGTTCAACAGCTTGTCCAGACTTACAACGGATGTTTCTGTGAATCCCTTTTCATCTGGCCACTTCCGTTTCGTCGCAACGCTGGAATGTACTCCCTGAAAGACTTTCAAAATGTCATCATGTGATGAACCGGGAATCATACTGGGCTCTGTCACTAACAAGTAAAACATATAATCTGAAAACAACTTGCATATTTCTCGGTGATTAAGACTCCCAGACGTGGAGGTAGAGCTGGCGCAGTGGTTACTTGGATGACCACTTAGGTAGCATATTTCAGTGGCTATGTGCCACATCAAAAGGCTTTCTATGTATTCAAACTTCTTGATGCTCCAATTGAGATTGCCACTATCTTGGAGAATTCCACCATATCTCTTAGCATCAATTTCCTTTCTCTTTCCCCGTTCATTATCTGCAATAGGATTTAGCACTGGTTCCAGCAGTTCTCTAAAAATGAAGTGCCACTCTTGGTCCGCTTTGAAATCCTTGGAAGACACACATCGGATTCTTTTTATGGCGCTTCGGATTCTTTGCATGACATTCAATAAGATAGCTGGAAATCATGTTTTTCTTGACACGACAAGTTATAAAATTTAATTGGGAAACAGAGTTAGACCACCTACGCTTGTTGTGCTTTTGGGATTCCACATTCTCGTCGTGACCAAAACAAATCCAATCAGAGAACATGACGAGAGATATAACGGAAATTAAATCCAACGCCAAGGCCCCAGTGAGCAACCCATAGGTCAGCCAGGTGTCAAACTCCCCCAACTTGTAGTGCTTCTTAAGCATTGAGAATAACAACAGAGCTCCCAAGATGCAACCAAAGTTAGCTATGCGGTGAAAGTATGCAATCTTGGAATCAACCACAGGTAACTTGGTATGAAGGAGCTCGTACAAGAGGCTTAAACTGATCTCTATGTTTTGAAGCACTTCACTTGAATGTGAGCAACTTAGCACTTCACCTGAATTTGAACGATTTATTGTTGATAAAACAAAACCTTTTTGTTCTGAAGGCATACGAGGACCTACCAGTAGGCTCTTGAAAATGCCAAACACAGCAAATATCCCATCTCTACAGAAAAATTTTGTATTAAGAAATTGATTTGGAAACCTGCCATAAAACAAATAACCAAACGGTGAGTGCTTGCCAATCATCGGCCAATGGTGGGTCCGCCAATTATCACCAAAATGGTCAAAACATGCAACATAAAAAGCACGATTCCGTTCTGCATATTTGATTGTGCCTGCAATTAACACGAGGAAGGTTGGGAGCAAAAGCTTGTTCTGGGGGAGTGACTGAAGGATAACATATATAGTTGAACCAATTTGCAACACAAGTCCAAGTAAGTGTCTGATCCAGAACTCAGTATCCTCCATAGAGAAGGAAGTAATAATATCGGGGCCACCAAGATGTAACAAAAGAAAGGGTGCCCAAAATACCAAGATGTCACTAGGTTCAGCCCGTAAGATGAGTCCAATTGTAAATGTAGCAACCCAGTCTGCAAGCAAGTATGCCAACCAGATAGGAATCATGACGATCCATTTTCCCCCCTTTTGTTTTCTCAATAGTGCAAACAGAATTAAGAAAGATTGAACCAAGAGGCTTAGAATAATCAGTCCTTCGATATTCCATGTATCCCATAGATTTTTAATGTTTTCAGCACTGCAGAATACCATCTTCATTAGTTTGTTTTGTTGTACCATATTTGTCTTGCAAATCCCTGCCCAACGCTTTACCCTATAACAAGTTGCACAATGAGGTCCGCTTCAACTATAACCTCCCATTGGATACCCTACATTATAATAGATTTAAGCTTCAATCAATGAGACATATAGGACGCATTGAGTTTGGGATAGTAATGTGTGCTAATATATAATTTAAAATTAATTGACAATAAATAACCTAAAATTAATTGGTAATAAATGAAATGATTATATCATACTTAAGTTTAATTTAATAGTTTTTCCTTAATTGATCGATATAAGATATTTTACTTAACACTTGCAAAATAATTCAAATGAACATTATACCGGAGAGAAGCGGCCATGGTTTTGGTTTCCCTCTACCCTATTTCTCCCATCCTCTATTTCTTCTTCCCTTCTTGCTTTAATTTTGTTTTTCCTTCTATTTTTTTAGGGCTTTTTTTTCTTTTTACTTAGATTTTCTTGTAAGGGTTCTAATCTCCCTTTAAGAATGGCTTCTATGCGTGTTTGACTTTCCAGGCATGGTTTGTGGGAGCTTATCAATGTTTTACGTCCTTCCCTATGGTGAATGTTGAGATTAGAACATATCGTAGGTAGGTGTTGTGTTGTCATGGAATAATTTTAGTAATTGCTTTTGCATATTTTAGGTTAGCTGTATTATGCTGATTTATGGCTTCACCATTAGATTTACATCTGGATTTGACTATAATATTTTATTCTTTTGATTGTTTTTGGTTATAATATTTATGTTACTATTAAACTACTTAGTCTTTATTTAATATGATTTTAGTTTTAAGTTTTGATTGAGTTTTCATCCTTTATACATTTAAGAACTATTGTTATATTTAGAAATAAAAATTTATTGTAAAAATCTAAATTTACTATAAATTTAATTTAAATATAATACTAGTTATTAAATATATAAAAATAAAAGTAAAACTTTAAAATCAAAACTATACTAAATAGA